ATGTTTGAATAAATAAGTCTTCTGTTTCATATCTACCATGCAATTATTATATTCACTTTCTAGACGAGACTTAAGAGTATCATATTCATCTTTTAGACGTTTGTGTTCCTTAGCAACCTGGGCCTCAATAGTTTTCTTAATATTATTCTCCCATTGCTGTATACAAAGCTCACGTTCCTCTAACTGTTTCTCAAACCCATCTAGCCAAGATAATGTACTAGAGCCATCAGAAGTAGTATTTGCTTCAATCTTAATCTTCTGGTGATCCTTTTTCCTAAAATATCTATTAACCTCGCTTGTAAGCATCTTCTCAATATTTGAATGTATATCCATAGCCTGTTCTATAGATAGGGGATTATTTTTACGGGTTGTAAATCGTAGCCATACATCCCTTTTCACAGATGGAGGTAATTGCTTAAGCAAATCCTCATAATGGTTATTGAAATCAGGTTGGCTGAACATCTGCCTAGAAATTACTAAGAAATTGCTAAAAAATTAGAGACTACTATTTCCTAGGAAATAAAATGCCAAGAAATTCCTGGAAAATTTAATTTATAATATCCGATAGATGCTACACACAAAAAACATAAATATATATATTTGCGAAATCGACCGTCAGGGGTCACTTTATTAAATTTTTAAATAAATGCCTTTTTGGCTAAGAAATATAAAAGAAAGCTATAAGGATAATGTATGAAATTAAATGATGCCCATAGAACCATAAAGGATCTAAGAGGGTGGGAGTACTCAGATCCTAAGCCATAAATGAGAGTCCCCAGAATCAAGACATTTCTTTGCTCTATTGTAAATTTCTATACTATTTTTTTTTTCCTATTGCTAACTATTATTATCGCTATTACTGCTACTGCTACTACTAGAATCCCCCCTCCCTTCTCTATTAACCATGTTTCGATTTTATCCAAGGAAGTAGTCCTCGGTGTTTTTTGATGGCGGTAGAAACTCGCCAAGTCGCAGAGCTTAAATGTATTTCTTGAGAAATTACATTGTATAACTGTGTATGGGACCGCCCCTCTCTCCTTCTTCTTTGATTAAATAAAGCTGTGAATTCTACCCATAAAGTTTGAACTTCATCGGGATATTCCGAATATTGGCTGGTAGATATACGACCAGAAGAGAATCGAGACGAACCTAATGATAGATGATCATAGAATTAGTATATACATGCCCCGCCATCATGAGTAAGTCCTAAAGGGAGCACATAATGAATTGACAGGTAAATTCCTTACCTTGTGAAACACGATCCCATTCCGCCTCTCCTTTCATTTTTTGTATGTCATTGTTTAGCGCCAATATTGTTTTTTCAAGTTTGGCGATTTTTTGTGATTCAGCCGAAGCTGAAGTTGAGAAAATGCGTAGGAATATGAATGTTCCTACAAGAATTATTTATAATGCAGTATTCCCTGAAAAAACACTTCGGAGCATCTCCATTGTTATGATACCCCGTTCAATCGCTTCATAGATTATGACGATGATAGTGAAAAAAAAGAGCAAGATAATATCAGAAGTGTTTGAAATCATTTTTGCGATTTGGAGAGTTAATAGTAATTAGTTGATTGTTTGGATTTGTTTATATAATGCTAAGAATCTTCCGCAGTCAAGAGATTTTCCGCAGTTGAGAGGCGATCGTCATAAAAATATGCGGTGATCTTCGATTGACAGGTTACTATCCTGAAATTTTAATAGACGATCTTATAGGTAGTATGAGAATTTAGTACGGACTGAAAAATTTTGTGTCCCGAAAGATCCCTGCTGTATTACCTCTCACGTTAAAATGAGGGAGTCCAAATCTCCCAATCAACTGATCCATGCATGACGAAAATCCTAATTGTTGATGAATGGAAGACAAAGAAGGTTAGTAGGTAGTTATTCGCTTTAGTAATATCACCCCAAACTATACTTACCTCTTAATCTTCATTCACGATTCGGCTACTACAGAAAATCGTAATATCTTTTTCCTGGTTGTTTCAGCTTTAGTGAAGATATACCCGCGAACTTGGAATCGCCAGCATCACGAAGAATCAGGATCGGGAATGTGATGGTCGAAATGGAATCCTCAGAAAGGCAAGTTTGATTAGTATTTTATGAATGGAATTAAAGCAGGCTATGAATATAATACCTAACTTTACCTTTATCCATCCAAGAATCGAAATTATTATCCATAGGATTCATCACGTAAGTATCGCATCATGGAAATCCGGTTTATTGATCTTTCCAGGAGATGACGAAGTCAAAATAGATGGTGATGCCGATGGTGGTGCTGATGGTGATGGAGACTAAAACCTTCATTAATATGGGACATCAAGAGGCTGGAAGACAAGTTCAATTAGAACATATCCCACAATACACAATACACACACCATACGAAAAAATATTATCCTGTAAAAAATCACACCACTGCGCCTTTGCTTTATTTAATGAATAAAATGTTGCCGAAAGCAATTACTAATACATGATGCGAATACAAATATAATAAATCTAACTATTCATTATTGGGTGGGGGAGGGGATACGAAAATATGAATATCATTTGGACCAGGAATCACTTGAAAATAATTAGAAATCGAAGCTGTTGGTTGCATACTTCTTTCACCCTGAAGGTGGTTCATACAAAGATCGATTTGTGTGGAAGGAATATGATCAAAGAGAGGCGCCAACCGTTTCTTTACGATAGGCTTGAGCGAGTCGACCTTTTTTTCTCTAGAAATCTCGATTACAAATATTTCATTATCATTTTGGCTATCATGAATACGGAGGTTAAGACTATAGATTTTATTATTTGCCATTTTGTTTTCATCTCATGGTGAGTAAAATTTCGCTTCTGTAGATAATTATATTGATATTCCTGAACTATACATACTTTGAAAAAAGTTGTGAAAGATATGGGGTAGGAGTTCTGTTGAACTTTGCTTATTATAAGATGTGAAGCAAGTCGTTAAAATGCCTAGAAAATAACTAAGCCGAGTCTCCCTAACAGTATGTTTATATATTTGGCGGAATGTGGTGAAAGTTATTCCCTTTTGGCATGGCGATCTCTCTGCGAAACATAAAGCTTGTCTAGCCCCTGGCGATCTCGGAATTGCAATGTCCACAGCATTTCATAACATATGGTTTTGCCGGCACTATTTTACTTATGGGGTAGGCCCTGTATCACAACTAGATATTTTTTCTTCCTCCGGTCACATTTGTTTGGAAAAAAAAATAAGGATAGGAAGTTAATATAATTTTTTTTTTTTCGCTTGATATGTGAGAAATTTCCCTGTCGCACAGACCTGCATTGTGATCATTTTATTTGTCGCATAATTTAGTCGATAGCGCATGGCTCAGCAATTCTTCCGAGCTGGTGATCATTTCTCCGGACTAGCATTAATCGAATCACATCGCTTTTAAACAATTTTACAAGGTTTTCTAACCCCTCCAAATTTTTCTCAAATGCCTTGATTACTTCACCTGACTCGCTAGGTAAATTATTGGATGTATCTTTTTTACTTTTGACTTGGTGCTCGCTTTCCATTCCTCTTTGCACTATAGAAGAAAAAAAAATCTCTCAAGTTGATATTACTGCTTCGGACTAGATGGATCGGACTACTCGAATTGGATTCCTTCTAGGTTTCACCTTCCTATTGCCAGATTTTTTCTTCACCTCATAATCTGAATCAGATGAATCCATTGGTTCTTTACCAGGCTCTAAACCAGTTTGCTCTTCTACATAATTTCCTATCCAATCTACAGTACTTTCTAGCTTTTTAACCTTTTCTTTAAGCTCGGATGAGTGGACTCAGAATCAGAATTATATAAAGACTCGCCATTGTCCAGACCCTTGCAAAATAGTATAAAATTCTTATTCCCTCCCTTTTCACGTCTATTTTTGCCTTACATAACCATAACCATTGCATCCCTAATATAAGATCAGCATTTTGCATGGCTTCGCAACAACCTCAAAATTATTAAAAGTTTCATCACTACTAGGGACCAGTCTATCTTTTCCTTTGTATCAGAAAGATATATCTAAGCAATCTACAGTACCTAATGAGTTTTTCACTTTTTTGTTTTATAATGCTTTCCATATTTTTCTCCAAGCTTATCGGCTAAACTTTTGCTAATAAAATTTTCGTTAGAAAATGTCTTAATCAGTGCCTTGACCGTATAGTATCTATGCCCTTCTTTCATTGCTTCCCAACGCGTTTCTTGATGGATTATTTTATCTGAGAAAGGCCAAATTTTACATTCTACATATGCCATTTCGAGTGTTGTTTTCTTAACTGAATATTTATTATGCCAGAAAAAAATAATAACCCTCAAATAAATTTTTTTGGGATGAATGCTATCTAATCCTATTCTTTATCAGACTTAAATATGAGTTTTATTTTTGCATATAATTTTGAAATTCATTTTTTATATCCTCTCTAATCTGTAAACAACCCCTAATTACTATCATTTCCAAACTAGAAGCCAATTTTGGAATTTTTGTAATTGTTTTTGGGCTTAAGCATCTGAAACCTCTTATTACAAGTGATTTAAATTGGGATACTTAACTAGAAGCGCTTCTAGATTTTTATTGTTAAGTATACATGACCCACAATTTTCAAAACTTAGCCATTGTAAATTTGGACATGTCTTGCATACTTCAGAAATGTATACATCTGGCTCTATATTTATTTTTCTAATCATTTTAGACCTAGTACTTGTGAACATGCATTTAGCTTCTTAATGCTTTTATGAACTTAATCCCAGAAATACCTATTAGGACTATTTTTTGCCATATTAGTCTTTTAGCAATATAGTGCTATTACTTATTAACTATTAAAAGAGGGTATAATTTCTCGTTTTCATTTTTCTATGATATTGAAAAATTCTATTAAGAATCTCATTTGGCAAAGGTAAGTAATAAATGAAAGACTTTTCTATCTTTGCGGATGCTGGTAAATCTATTTCTTCAAAGTTGACCCACTTTAAATTTATCACATTTTTTATTGATACAATGCCTGTTTTTACAATTTTTAGATCACTCTTCCTGACTATATTTTTTGTTAACAACTGCTCAGTATTTTTGTCTGAAATGATGAATCCATCTGTGTGGATTCACTTTACACGTTCACCTAATAGTGCAATTTTTTCTGATATTATTTTACGCTCTCTTGTTGAAATAAATGAAGCTATACACTAATGTGAACCTGCTCTTCGTCCGTCTGAGAATAAACGTCTCTAGAGAGAAACTAGCATATGTTTAACAACTTTTTCTGCCTACCCATCTTCTTGTTTGATCTCTGTTAGATAACTTGCCCATTGATAGAAGACTTCACTTCTATATATAAGACGCTTAAATATTAATGCATTTGGGCTTTTAGTTGATGATTCTTTATCTAGATCTAGATTTATTGCTAATTGTGAGTATAATATCCTGCTAGATTATAGCGAAATGTCCTTATGCATTTTTGTTCTGCTGGTTGACCCTTTATATTTATGCAATAAATTCCATAACTTAGAGTATAGTCAATAGGATCAGTGCTAATATATGTGATTATTTTAAATTCTCCTATTCCTATTAGCCAGCATGTACCTGTATCTGCTAATATGTGAGGGTAATATTCATTGTAATCTAATTTGGTCGCGATTCCTTCATAAGGCTCAGCCTATACTATTCCTTCTATGTAGGCTGATTTTACCCAATAATCTTCTTCAGTTGTTAAATCTATAGCTTTTCTAGGAGTTCTAATAATATCTTGAAAGAAACGCAAGCTTGCCATAGCATATGAACCAGTTTTCTTAAGTCTATCTGACCATCACTTCGCCATGAAATTGCATTAGCCTCTTCATTAGAATGAATATAGGATTTCTGAAGTGTTTCATTCAGATTGGTTTTAATTAAAAACCAGTCTCTTGATAAATCACAGAAATCATTTTCAGAGCCAATCCATTGTGTATTCTCATCATAAAACTCAACATTCTTACCTTGCTTTCTCTAGAAAAGAAATCTTCGAATTGCTGAATACCATCTTGTTTCTGTATTTTGACTATTTTGACAAGTTAAAGCAGTCTTATAGTCGCTCTCCCCATCTGACTCCACTTCTGGCTCTTCTTTTAGTACTGGTGGTTTAGAAGGCTTGGATAATTTGGGTGGTATCAAATCTTCCCAAAAATTTCCAAATAATCGCCCTAGTGCATCAGTTATACTATCTAGAATTCTGCTCATTTTTTCTCAAAGATTATATGAGGTTACAAAAAGTTTAAAATAAAAATTAATTTATTCGGATAATTAGAGTTACATATTTATTCAAAAAGAAGAGACTATTAGAATGGGATTTTATAATTGTCCATATATTCTTAGGACTGGAGAAGTGTGTAATAAGGGGTGCTATCGACCAGAAGGGTGTAAAGTTCATTAGAAGTCTCTTAGACAGGTTCCATGTATAGAATGCAAAAAATTAACTTCCTTTATTTATAGTACTTGTAGGAAACATGCAGGCAAATATCGCATTCGAGATTTTTATCAATATCAGAAGCTTGCAAAAATTCAGGGGCGGTGTTACTGGTCAGTTGATCAATCTCACATGACTGAATTATGCATTTCTTGGCGCAAGAGGATAAGTCTATAGATTCAGTATCATCAAAATCAGGGTTGAAGTCATCAGAGGCGCTGTCATCAGAATTAGGAGAACTTCAATCTGAAGAGCCACCTCAAAAGTCCAGAATTATTCCTCACATTTACAAGTCCAGGTTACATTCGAATCATCTTCCATCTGAGGCAATTCATCATCAGATTTCTTTTTGAGTTGTCAGAAGTTGAAGGAGTACAGTATGTGTAGTTGAAGCGTTCATTCCAATGGAGTATTCTGTGATTCAAACAAGAACAATCAACATAAGGAATAATTTAGCAGAATAGCCTCCAATAAGAATTTTGTATCGCGTGACTTCCATGATGTTGGAACAAAAAAATTTAGCCTTTTTACTGCGGTACGGTTGTATGACAGAAGTATGTACTACGATTATCAATAATACGAGAGAATATCTTTATAGTGTAATATCATCAGCGAATACTGATCAATACTGATCAAATTATATTCTTTTTTTACATTTTCGCACGAAACCCTCCTCCAAAATGTCTTCAACTTCTTCGAACTCTGGCTGGAAATCAGCGCGTAGGAATTTTCGAAAAAGATTTAATAATATACTCCATAAATATCCTAAGTTACCAACAACTTCCCAGAAGAAAATGGGTAAGTGTGCCTCATACAGATTCTTTACCCACCCAATGTTGCCTCATATTGTTACAGTTTGCCCTTACAGATTGGATCGAATATTACAGTAAAAGATTATAACACCTTTCTTGACGAAAACGAAAAAGTTGGATATAAGTTTTGTTGGAACGGAGGCAACGTATATATTATTGAAATGGCTAATCCGGAACATGAAGTTGCGGTATCATATCTTATGGACTGTTTTAAAGAACCAAATAATCGTGTAAAACTTGGCCCGATAGACATACTTGGTCAACCATGTAAGAGATTCTTCCTTTTGATCTAATTGTTTTCGGCTTGTGATAATAGTTCACATTTGTTTCTTATAGATCATTACAATCCAACCGGAATTGGGGAAAAATATGCGCCAGATCTCGCTGTTTGTGGTTCAATTGATCATGTTTTAGAACCCGTGATTCCACATCCTGGTCCACCCCTTAGCGACGTAAAAGTACTTTTATACTTCATTGACATTATTATTTTCAGAGCCAATTTCGCAATATTAATAAATATTTACACAGGGTAATCCTCACGCGAGAATCATATGTGAGGTAGCTAACGCTCAAAGCATTCCTGACTGGAATACAAAATGCGAAGATTGGATGCATGAAGGATACGTGCGCTGTGTACTTGGCATAAAACTTTTTCCTAAAACAATTATAGGAAGAACTGCTAATCAGGCAATGGTGGTATGTCTTGTACGTCTTTTTATTCAATTATTTTCATTTTTAAGATTTTTTAATAATAACAGGCTAGGTTATGGACTCGTCAAGCGTTGGCAGGCAGTGTCTTATCGGCAAATGCAACCTTAGCAGCAGTAGGAATACATGTTACCGAAGTAAGATTGGTACATTATATTCTTGTGATCAGATTCAGTGGACTAAAGCTTTTGCGACATGACAGTGGGATTTCGGCACGATTCAATATAATAACCATATACCCCCACTCACCGGTTGCAATGTCGCGAATCTCAATGCCTTTCGAGTAAACATTCCAATTGCAGACGCTTTTTACGATCCTCCGATCGTTGGTGGAGTTCTTACACCATATGCTGTCTTTGTACCCAGAACAGTTGTTGGTGTAAATTTTGTAATTGATTTATACGAGTTGCAACGAGCGGTTTTACGAAAAAAGTAAACATGTCATACACATTTGTTGCTTATTTGATTAATGTTCTTTGGTTAAATTGTTGGGTAAATGATTGCCTCAAACTTTCAGCATTATGATGATTTAATACTTATTCATTGTCATATCAAACGAATAAATAATATGTAAAGTATACAGCAGTGAATCGAAATTTTTATTTTCCAATTTTATTATATATTTTAAGAGAAAATGAAATGTAATACATGATCCTAAACCAAGCCCAGCATCAAACTATTTTCTTTGCTCTTTCACTTTCAGGTAAATTTCTACAGATATTGTTCCTATCACTAGATAATTATGAAACTCTCACATCCTTTTTCTACAAATATAAAATAGCTATATCTACAAAAATTTTGCCAATATAAATAACTTCCTCCTACACAGTTCCGCAAGAGAACTTTACAGAGATTAAATAATTTCGGACCTATAGCATAGTATAAGTTCGGGATTAGCAACTGAGATTAGTGCAACATTAACTATTCGCTCTACAAAATTCCACTCAGCCTCATATACAAGAAAATTTAGTTCTTGATCTTTTTATCAGTATCAAGAATTTGGCACGCGAAGAAGAATCACGAGAATTTATTTTTGTGATACTGCCCCAGAATTTAGTATATCTATGATGAATTTTTCAGAATAATATGTAGTAATGTGTCCGTTTTATTTTGGAACGTCTAGAAATCGATTAACATCGAAATCCAAAATCAATAGTTACACGTTCTTTGTGATAATTGATTTACAAGAATCAAAGGAATTTCACATCGTTCACCGCTTTGCGAATCTGAAATGATCAAGATAAAGATTCTTACCGTAACCATAAAAGATGCCGCTATATTTCGGTAATTATCATTCCTTCCACTTTCACTAATTTTTTTACATTACGAATTTTTTGTGTGTAGTTTTATATTCCAAAATTTAATTAGTAAAAGAATTATAGCTTTTATTTTTTTCCGCCGACTAAAATTTCATAACTTTTCTTTTTTTAAAAAAAAGGTACGATATAACTGCTTCTTAGAATGATTAAAATATAAGTTAAGAAGGCAAGTAAAACAAACTTTATAGTTTATATCCGCTATTTATGTGTAAACTTGTAATATAATTCTAAATTTACGTTCTTAATTCAAGCTTTGCAAAGTATTGTTATCTGCTGAAATTATTAGATCATAGACTATACTTGAACGATTATTAGTTGATATTTATCATAGATGATTTGCTATTCCCAAGTCCTATATCATATCTTACCTGAAAATTTAAATTCGATCATATAAATAATCAAAGAGGTTATGACAATTTTATAGTTTACATTGGCGCAGTAGTTATGATGTATCTTATTTATAATTTTAAAAAATTTGTTTAAACGATTACAAACTGCACTTTGTTACTATACAGTGTTCAATTAAACTTTTTAAAATATATGAATTAAACAAAATGGATTGAATTAAAGAATATCAATAATATCATCCATTGACATGTCTTATATTTGGCATATTAATTAATAGTCTGTTACTAATATTATCAATAATATAAATTAACATGCAAGTTAATCGAAACTTATACTGTAAAGGTAAAATTGATGAAGAGTTCTGGGCAGGATAGCCTCGAATGAAACATTTGGTTCAGGCCCTAGAGATATTAGTGGATGGATGATGGCCTTTTATCCTTATGAAAAGGATGGAACAAAGGTAACTTTCAATTCAATTGAAGCCGAAGATATTCCTGATGGAAGGGTTGGAGTCCCATTTACAACTGATAATGAATTACATTAAAATTTGTTGCTGGATTTTTGGGTGCGCAACAAGAATTCCTCGAGAACACTAATGAAGCGATTGTCTCGCCAATGATTGGTTGGTCTGTTATTGATGATAAAACTGCGAAGGACATCATTTAATAAATTTTTCGACAATTCTGAAACTTAAACAAAATTTTATTTTCTATAATGTTAAGTGAAAATATGAATAAGTAAAAAAAATTCTCAGCAAAATTTTATATATTTCATGACACTTTTTATGTCGTTACACCGTTCACGGGGTGTTTATAATCCATAAAGAAAAATTAAAAATGAATAATAAAAATCATAAAAATTAACAAATTACAGTAAATATGATCATGCAATGTGACGCGGAGTGATAAATAAATGGGTACTAAGTGAATGCTAACCTTTAGATTTAAGACATAATTTTCAAAAGACGAATTTGAAGTTTACGAAATATGTATTTATAATTTAAACAAAAAGTAGATCAAAAACAATAGTTCTTCGCTACGCTCCGGACTAATAAGAATTTCCAAAACCCTTTTTTTTTTATATATCTTCTATTTACTAATAATTATGCATTAAATTATGATAACAGCATCATCTTTTAAGTCGAAATTATTGAATATTCTTCCTATCCTGCTTCGGTGGAGTCTTTTTTTAAAGGTCTATATTTTCGAGTGCATTTTTTTTTATTTCCAAGAATTACATGAGTCAGATTAATGTTTTCTTTTTTGTCCTTTTTTTGGGTTTATATAGGCACTGATTTCAAGGTTTTACATAGGAATGTTAAACGGTCCTAAAACGGTCCTAAAAGTCCCAACAAATTTTCCAATTCTAGAGATATTTTACTTTCTAATGATAATGTATTAATTGAATATATATTAAACTTATGCGGGAATCCAGAATCTTAATTTTTGAAACTTAGGACCCGGTCCCACCTTGGCGGTCCCATGAGAATTTTCGATTTCATATTCATAAGCCAATTTTTTATCTAGAGTTATTATAGATAAGCGATTACTTTTCTATAACTCGTACCTGCAAAATGATCTATCCCGTTTCCTGCTTCGTGTTATAAGCCACGTGATTAATGGCAGATGAAGCAAACAATATAGCACGTCTGAAATGTGTGACAGGTTATGCCGATTATATGGCTTAAAGTATGTGGCGCATTTTTCAAAAAAAAGCGTCCAAGTCAAATTTTACTGCAAAAAACCAACCCGCCGCCTTAAGTAAACTAGCAGTACGAGCAAAAATACACCTACTTATGGGTTAGTACGTACAAAAATCAGGTTTTGATCATATGATTTATATAGTCCCGCAGCATGATTTTCGTACGTACTAACCATATAATGTTTATTAAGGTTTGGTTTCAAATTTGTAGAAAATTGTCTGTGGCGCAAGTGCCGATCATCATGTCGATCATTTCCAAATAAGTATTTTTTCGGCATAACCTACCTTTCACACATTTCAGACATGCCAAACAAAAATGAATATTTAAAAAATTTTTATATATAATTTTATTATTTGCGTAAAAATCATATTTGAAATTTGAAAATTACTAATAAAACAATATGTTATAATGAAACTAATAACGATACATAATTATTACCCTAAAGAATTTTTTTTTTATCACCTCCCAATTCACTATTCAAATTGCCATATGAGAACACAAATTTTAGACGCGCTCCTAAAAAAAAATAATAATAAAATTTTTATTGAAAAAAGAAGGTACTGCTAACTCATGAAAAAGCCAAAAATGATTACAATCTATTAATATAACTCTATTGGTCAGTAAAATACATGACTAACATATTGTTTTAATACTCCATATCGATGATACGTTTTACAAACTTCTTCCATTTGTCCTTTAAATTGCACGGTAGGATTCCAATAGAAACAAACAGGTCGAGACATTTCCTCTCGACTTTCTAAAAATTTTTCGAAGGCTTCCGCTGATATCATCCATCCATCTGATATTCTAAGATTACGTAAATTTTGTGGTTGATTTTCCGTGATTTCCTTTAAAATGGCATCAAAATCGACTTTTCCTTCGGAATTCCTTTGATTCGTTGATGACGATTCTTGATTAAACGCACCAGGAATTCCCTTTGATGGACGAAGGTGTAATGACCTTAGGTGATTACAAGAATCTAGTAATTTCGTAAATTCTCTTCTATTATCTTGTAAGATGGGTCCCTCGTACAAGATAATATCTGGACAAAATTGTGCAATATTGGCGATCAGTAATCCGGAATTGTTTGGATCAAATAACTTGTGACTGTGTATTATTACTTGTTGTAACTTTCCACAGTTTTTGATGAAATTTGCGAATATATCAAGATATATAATTGAATTGATACTACAAAAATAAAATATCTTTAATTTCTTTAAAGAAACTCCCGTTAGTTGGATCCATTTTGATCGTGGGTAATCTTGATCACCAAATGCAGATAAGAATAATTCTTCAAGATTAACAAAATTTGCCAACTCTTCAACAGGAAAATACATTCTACCTATCGTTAATCGCGTTATGAAATACGCCTTTTTCATTATTTCAAAAGGCGCACTGTTGGAGGTTTTCCAAGATATTTTTCGGATCTTCCCAGAAGTGTGATTTTCTTCCATACTTATCGATGATAAGAATTTTTGAACACTAATTAACTTGGATAATTCATTTAAATCTTCATATGGATGGACTTCCAATTGTTGAATATTACGACTATAATTTGAAAGAACTGATACAATCTTTGACATAAATTTGGCAGTATTAACAGTGGAGCCACAAGTAAAAGTTCTTAATTTAGATAAAACTTGCTTTGCTTCGGGTATCTCGATTATCACATTTGCCAAGATTTCAGGGACTATGATTCCTGATCCTGCATTCAAATTATATAAAACTTTGGATTTCCTAAAGAAATTTTTCATTAATTCATGGATGACAATAAATATCCTCTTCCTAAGGAGAGGGTTTATCACTATAACCCTTCCATGTTCTACAACGATTCCAGTAATTAATAGAATCCAAAATATAACGTGTACTTCCAAGGAACAAATATGCAAACCCTTTAGAAAACATGCGTAATCAAAGGTCGGTTTCGATGACATCCGTGATATCTTTATTCCAGCCTGAGACAGAACATCTCTTGAAGATTGTGGTAACGTTGCAACGTATGTCGTTATAAGTCCGGTACGCCATTTATTTGATCCATTCCCTGAATTCCTAATATAAAACCAAGGGTTCCGCCAAAGAACGGGGAGCGCATATATACACCAAATGCGATTTACCAACGCGCAATAAAATAATGAATTCGGGTCCTCCGCGAGAAATTCAAATATTCGTATTAGGCAATGATCATTGATAATTGGCGATGAATTAGTAATGATTCTTTTTGGATTAATCCTCCTATGTATTGTAACAAGAAATTGTTATATGACGACCAATAATTATGAATTTTTAGGAAAAATTGTAGATAAACACACCTACTTATCTTTTTAAAAATAATTCAAATATTATTTAAAGGTAGAAAATTTTTGTTCATTGATTAAACAAAAATAAACATACCTTGAATGATACCAATGTAAATGTGGGATAATCCTAGTTGACATTGACGTAAATTGCGTACTAGATTCAAGAAAATGCGAGTGTGTTTAGGATTCGGAAACATGACACAATTCTGAAAACCTTTGATCCTGATCATACCCGTTAGTACCTTTATCCTGAAAGTATTCTCGAGAATAAAAATGTTTAACTGAAATTTTAATATATTTTTTTTTTTGTTGTTATTAGTTATTTATTCATTTCGGATCATGACGTATCATCAATAAATAATAACTCACTGAAAATGATTTTGATCTCAACAAGTTTATCTCCAAGAAAAATTTTTTTATAGAAACAAAACTCTATCAAAATATATTATGAAATAATAAATTTGTTTATGTAATATATCGATGCAAAAATCGAGATCCGTTATGCTAGCATTATGACTCGTCAACGAAGGGCTTTTATGCCTTTTCTTAAACGAAAGTTGAATTCAAGAAATGCCAGTAAATGAATCGTGTCATGTGTAAATGTATATTATCATCACGTGAAAAATATTATGAGAATAAGTTAGATCGATCAATTATGTAAAATTCACATGTCAAATAAACGATTTTTTCTAATATGTCAAGTATACAAACCTTTTATGGAAAGTCAAGCATGCCTAATTTGTTAGGATCCTATAAAAATTTTTCGGTTATTAATTTTTATTAAAAAAAATATGATTTTGTATTTAACCAAACATTATTGTTATATGTAACGTATCATTATAAAGCTGATTACGAATATCAGTCTTAATTAAATTTTGTTTAGAAAACCCTCTTTACTAGAAAATGGTATAGAATAAAATATACTAATCAAAATAAGAATTTTAGGATACATATCAGAATGATATTGAAATAATAGCAGAAAGAAATCATCAGTAGAAAGTTTGTCATAATTTGCTAGGACTATAGCTTTAAAATTATTCCATTCATCACGAATAGCATCAGCATCAATAATTGGCATTGGGTAATTAGGCTCTTTAGCTATTCCATAAATATTAATTAACTTTTCTAATTCTTCCTCACCATAGTCAACTAAACTTTCTTTATTCTTTGGTCATTCCATTGGATTCATTATTTTCATGGCAGATAAATTGATCTATGTGGAAATCTGTCATTAATTTCACAAATTACAGCTGCTGTAAATTCCATAATTTTTAATTGTAAATTAATTTCGTCTTCAGAGTTAAATAAAATATGATAATCTTCAATAAAAGAATCTTCTGCTGGTGGTTCTTTTAATAAAAATTATTTAGATGTGATTTAACTTTGGATTTCCATAATCATCAACATCTAAATATTCATGTAATTTTTGAATAGTAGAATTAATTATAGGATCAATATCAAAAAACATATCTTCGTTGAAACATCTTATTAAGTTCTATTAAATGACCTAAAATATCATATAAAAAGTGTAAAAAAACCAAAACT